TGAGCATAAGCTGCTCATGTTCAGCTCCATCAATCAGCACCCCCAGGTCCTTATCCACCAAGCAGCTTTCCAGCTACTCTTCCCCAAGCCTGGAGCATGTCTTGAGACAGATCCAGATGCAGAAGCAAGCAGCTGGGTGCCCCTTTCCTGACTATTGCTGTTGTGGGGTGGAGGCACACAAACACATGCAGACACATGCGCACACACACACACATGGTTTTCATGCATGGTTACGGAGCTCACAAGAGGGAACGATACTCTGGCTCCGTAATGGGCAGGATCAGGCTCCAAACCTCCTGCTGGACACACTGCGCTGAATCAGGGATCACAAAATACTTAGGGGCAACATCCCTCCATGAGCAACAAGGGCCAAAAAATCCACCACAGTCACACTATGCTTTAGCAAAAGAAATAAAGAAAAGGAGAAAGATGGTTAGCAAAAAGGAGCAACAAATTAAATCCTTAGAGGCGGCATGGAGATCACCAGAAAAGACCACACTGGGTACGTGGTCTGTTAGGAAAGGTGTGAGAAGGGGTGCAAGGAAGCTGGTACAGCTCAACAGGGAAGAAATCTATTGTTGCATTAAGATATATTAGCACAGTGGGCTAAGAGGGCATGATTCAGAAGAAGAGAAGAAGAGAAGCTGTGGCTGCCCCATCCCTGGCAGTGTTCAAGGCCAGGTTGGACACAGGGGCTTGGAGCAACCTGCTCTAGTGGAAGGTGTCCCTGCCCATGGCAGGGAGTTGGAATTGGATGACCTTTAAGGTCTCTTCCAACCCAAACCAGTCTGTGGTTCTCTGATACAAAAAGCCAGACTGCTTCCAAACACAGAAAACAGAAAGGCTCTTCACCTCAATCAGATTAAATGCAATAATTTAACTGGGCAGGCCAGAAACCAGTCCAATGGTAACTGGTTAAAGGCATCAAAACTGCCACAAAATCCTTTTTGTGATACATTAGGAGCAAGGCAGGAAGTCTGCAGGGCACTGATGCCTGGAAGGAGCACTGAAAAAGGTGTTTGCAGAGAGGATTATTTGCATCAGAGGTAGCAGAGAAGGGGATTCGTTTCCATGGGAGTTCAGCCTTTCCCAGCCCTCAGGACCTCTTGGCTTGCCTTCACCATCCTCCCAACTCCACTCTGGGGAAAGGAGCCCGTTGGAAATCCAGGGAAGGGAGGACTCACAGTGGGCCGGCAGAGCAGGAGGCGGGTATCTGCGATGTGGGCTGGGGAGCACTGCAGCTTGCCACACACACAGATCAGGTTGGAGAAGAGCCGGTGGAAGCGCAGTTCCACCCGTGCCCCGCAGGGGAAGGTCACCAGTTTGCTCAGCAGCTCTGGAAAGGAAAGACAAGATGGGTCAGTTCCTTAGAGCATCCTGCCAACAACTCCATGCAGACCACTGTCCCTGAGGGGCACAGGGACTCCCAACCGTCTCTTCCCCCCACCTGGCTAGCCCTCCCTGCACAATGCATGGCTTACCATGTCTGTGTCCCCAGCGCTTGGCCCCTGCTCCCAAGGGACAGATTGGATCTGTCAGGGACCGTGCTTCCTTCAGAGTGTGTTTGATCTCCATCACCTGCTTCCCAGTAACCAAGGGATCCTGGCCGATGTCTGGGAAAGAGAGTTTTGAAGTGCAAAGGTCACTCCAGGTTCTTTATTTATCTCAGCAGCTTTCATACCTTACGTTAACGTTTTAGTACTGCTGCCAGTTTACTAAAAGCTCACATGGGACGTGGTCTGTGATTTGGTTTTTAGGGAGGGATGACTGGCTGGCTGGCTGAGATGGGGTGGCTGCTATCAGTTCTCACCCGTGCTAATGAAGCAAGTGGTTTCTAGCTCATCCCTTACCTTCTAGCACATCCTCCAGCATGTGTGTAACCTTCTTCTCTTGCAGGATATGTTTCTTCAGGTATTTCATGAAGATCCCAGAGCTGAACTTCCCATCCTGCAACTCATAGGCTTCTGCATCTTCGCTCCTGGAAGAGTAAGGAATTGTCCTCTCATTTCTGCAAGGGACATGAAGCTCTGGTGTGAGGCAGGGCTTGCTGACTCCATCCAGATTCTGTTGGCTGAGTCCAACTTGGCTTTTCAAGCAATGACACAAAGTGCTTGGTTTTGGCCCAGGAGAGGGTGGGAAGGACGCAGGATGGCAAAAAGCAGTGGACAGGGATGGGAGAGCACAGTAAAGCCTCTTTTTCCAACCTAGAGGAGTGACAGTAGTTGAAAAGCCAGCAGAACTAGCACTAGAGCAGTAAGCAACACTGATCAAGAGGCTTCAGGTGATCTCCTCATAGCACATGCACCTAGGGCATCAGGCTCAGGCCTGGAAGGACAGATGACAAGAGCTGATGCCACCTTCATGCATAACCTGTAACTGATGCACAGGCTGCCACTAGTGATGACAGGAAGAAGGATAGAATTGGCTGAACAGCAAATGCTAGAGGTGGAGGGTGAGAGCCAGAGGAAACATCAGAAAAGCCCTCTCAAGTCTTCAAAGCCACCACGCATGAAGGGATGTGAGAAGATGTGGCTATGCCAGCATATGGTCCTACGTTATGGCGTGGGCTTGCCAGACGACATTTGCCACTACTTACGTGGCATATCCATAAACAGTGTTGCCCCAGGGCTCCAGTGGCTGCACCTGTGAAAGGGCACACTTTGAGTTGTACCTAGAAGAGAAGGCAAAGGCACTAGTCAGTGTCAAGGACATCCATCAGCATGTGCCTGGAGGGGACAGAGCCCCTAAGCTCCACCAAGTCCATCTCCTACAGATGGCAATAAGATCAACCCACAAAGAACACAAACCATGGCGAAGTGAGTAAATAGGGCCAGCTCTGACCCATCTGCACTGGTGAGCTGCTCCCTGCCCAGCAAGCAAGCCTGGGCTGGGGGTACAACCATGCCTCCTCCTTCCTGAGGCTGGTTTGTAACAAGCCCAGGCAACACAACAGTACAGAGAATACAGGGGTTCACTGTTGCCCAAGGGACAACTGTCCATAAGGAAGTCAGAGGTGTGCACATTGCATGGCTACAGCTCAACCACCTGTCCCGGGGGGCTGGGGTGTCCCACAGTTCCCTTCCAGACCATGCACACACCTTCTGCCTGAGCACACTATGGCAGGTGCACCTCCAGATCTCACTGAGAGTTGGGATCAGGATGCACACCCAGGTCTCAAAACCCAAACCTGGCTCCAGAACCCTTGTCTAGATGCAGCTTAATGAGCACAGACCCTGTTATTTCCAAAATGAAGTAGATCTGGATGATGGTTCTGGTTTCCACCAAAAAAGGTATTATGGTTGCATGTAACAGACAAGCCTTGCTCACCTGACTGCAGCCAGACTGAACAGAATGGGGACTGGCTGCCGCCAGTTTACACCAGTAACTTGGAACTGTTCCCAGTCACATGGGGATAAGAGCCAGGCACAGAGGTGGCATTATTCTCTGTTATTCAATTCCAGCACAGTTTCCTGGGGCTGAAGCTGGTGTGCTAAGGAGAGCAGAAGGGATGGTTGTGTTGCCAGCAGCCAGCACATTACCAGTTCTGGTGGTGCAGTCTGGTGATGTTTAATGGCAGGATTCATCTGGCTTGTGTAAGTTCTCTAAAGATGATCAGAAGAGAAAATGTGGGAAAGGAGATACGCTTCTAAATATGAACATTGAGCAGAGACATTTATCTGCTCCTCAGCTGCTCCTAAATGAATGCAGAAATCTAGGATTCCAGGTCCAAGGAACATGGGATCCCAAAATAAGCTGAGCTCCTGTTGTTCCCATGTTGGGGACATCTATGCAAAGCTGCTGACACGAGCTGATGCAAACCTTTTGTGATGGCACCAGCAGGCATTCATGGCTCCAGCGACGCCAGCTAGTGCCTGCAGCAGAAATGCTGGCTGCGATCCCATCCAGCAGAAAGTGAGCTTCGGCAGTGGCATTTCCAGACTGTAACCTGACAGTGGAGAAGGTGGCAGCATCCCTCCTGCTCCAGACCCAAAACCAGTCTCAGTTACACAGCGCATCCCATGCAATCTGTTTTGGATCTGCATCCCACATAGGAGATGGTGTCCTCCTTCTGTCCTAAGTGGCCTATGCTAGAAACCCTCATAAATCAGGGAATTCCTGGAAGAGGCAATCGCATCCACTCAAAATCAGCATATAAATGTATGAGGCTACACACAAGCTCTGTGTTCCTTGTTCCTCCTCTGCTGAAGCTGAACATCTGCTACGACTTGGCAAAGGGGGACGTGTTTCTCATTGCCTTGGTATTTCTGATGCCAACATATGGGATGAAGAGCTATTCTGGGTGAGATTCTCTTAGTTCAGACACAGTTCCTCCTAGTTCATGCACGGCTGAGTGGACTGTCAATGTCTGTTGACAGCGCCAGTCCAACCAAAAGGGCATTGGAAAAGGAGGCCCCAGAAGCCTTGTTTTACAGAGTGGTGTAAACACATGCAGCTATGAAATCCAAATGCTTCACTGAGCTGAAACAGCAACTTCCCAAGAAAAATGAGCTCAGGAGAGAGCTTTTACAGCAATCACCATGAGCCTGGCAATAATGCCTACTGCACTGGGTGCTGTGCTTGCTGTGGGGAAGGGGAAGAAAGAAGTATGAAAGAGAAAAACAGCTGCACAACAATGCCTAAATGTCACAGCAGATCTCACACTGCATCCTTTTCCCAACATGCCATTAAGGCTCCACTGAGCACAAAAACCACCGGCAACACCAAGAAAAGAGACATCAGCTCAAAAGCTATTTCATGGATGGTCGCTGTTTGTGTTAGCAAGCCCTATGCAGCTTCCATGTCACCACACTGCCTCTCCGTCACACACTGCCCTCACATTGGCTACCAGCAGCCCAGACGCATACTAGCCCAGGTCCACCAGTGCATCCATGAAAGCTAAGTGCTTCTGCTTGGCTGCAAGACATCCCCTGCCTGGTATCATGCTGAGGAAAGCAGCAAGTTGCTGCTACGTGAGCCACAGTGGCACTTGATAGTGCAGGGAAGCAACATGCTTCAGCAGCAGTGGCGAGCAAGAAGGGAGAAAGGGAATGCTTCACTGTGCAGCTTTCAGGGCAGGCATCAAAGGACATCAAGCTCCAGTGACACTGGCAACTCAGAGCTATGGCAGCAGGGTGAGTCCTAGAACAGCCAGCGTGTAAACTATTCAAAGTGAGCATTCCCACCTCTCCAGCTAAAAGGCATCTAATATTCTACAGCTTTCCAGGGGCTGGCAGCTCTTTTAAGGCAATGGTATCAAAATCCCTGTCATCTTTATGGTTCTTAGTGCAGAAACCACTGAAGGAAGAGGGAAACTTCTGCATTTGATCTCCAGATCTTTTCTGACTTGTAAATCTGCCTCAGGAGACTGAAATAAATGGACTAATAACAGCTTCTACTGGAATAGTCCACCTACCTCTGCTGAAAACGAACAAGCAGTAATTTTCTGCAGTCCCAAAGCTGCAGGGTAGAGATCTGGTGGCCAAGGGAGGATGATGAGCTTTCCGCAGACAGAGGAAAAATGCAGCAGCCTGGGTCCCACGTTACAACATGAGCATTTCAGAAGCATATAAGGCCAGTAAAAACCAGGTACCAAGGCTTAACCCATCATGTTGCTCTCTTTTCACTGAGATGGTAACTAAAACGGTGCCAGGAGAAGAGAGCCTGAGTATGTGGGCAACACGCTCCATGAAAGCACGAGGTCAACAAGATGCTGGTACAGCATGCCAGGTCGGGTGGTTCAGTGCAGGGTGTTGAAACACAAAAAGACAAACCGTATGCTAAGTTTCAGCCAACAATTTGTGTAAGGGTAGACGCATCCCTCCATAGGCTTTAGACAACTTGCCTGTATTTGCCAGGCTTTTTCACCCCAAAAAATCACAGAAGGGTCTCCACCCCCTTCTCTTAGGCAACATCTGATGCTTTCTGCATCTGGGAAGACTGGTCTTCCCAGGACATCCTACAAGACCTGACATTCTTGCTGATTTTACAGCCCAATAAACTGGGCTCAGTAGCACAACAGAGGATGTGGTCCCAGCAATCCAAAGGATCACCCCACATGGTTGTGTAGAAGCCCACTGCTGAAGTGGGGACTATCTCCCCTGACCCCCCACAATGCCATGCTTGCCCATTGCAGGTGAGGAAAGGGGAAAAGCACCCTACCATTTCCTGCAGGTGTCCAGCAGGATGAGGTTCAGGGCCGTCTGCTGCTGCTGCATCCTCTGTAGGATCCTCTGCACGCTGATGCAGTTCTCAGGGGCATAGGGCTGTGGAGCATCAACTGGGACCATGTAGTTCCTCCCCAGATGTTCGTACCCATGCCCGGCATAGTAGAATATAGCTGGTAAGAGGGAGAGGAGAGGATGAGCCATGGTGTGAACCTGCAGGTCTGTAACCAGCTCTGCACAGCCATGTCCTACCTCCTGTCCTGAAGGGATACTGCTGCAGGGTGCTCCTATGAAACTGGACCTGCGCTGGCCTCTCAATTTTGACTTTTCTAGTCTGTTCCCTTCAGCAGAGATAGAAGCAGCCCTGAGAGGCTCTCCTGCACTTGTGGTCTTCAGCACCATCTGTCATGAGACCCCAAAGTCACTGGGTTTACTCATTTCCATAACCATTTGTGCTACAACACCCAAACTCAGCATCTAGGTAGCACTGAGGGGAAAAATCAAGGAGAGAATCCAAATAGGAGGAGAAATGCAGTAAATGGGGAAGGATAATAGTAAGTTTGAGGGCGGTAGGAAGTTTTCTTCCTTCAAAAGGTGAACTTTGATTGGTAATTCTCCCACTGATAATCATCAGAAAGGTGTGGACTGAAGAGTACTTCATGTTCTCAAGAATGCCAGGCTGAATGTCGCCTTTGTACAAAGTCTTGGTTAATCATCATTGCTTGGCAAGAATCATAGAATAATTACAACAAAGTATTTTATCATTATGAAATACATTAACAGCCTTTTATATAAGACATTTGTCAGCTTCCTAGTTTTGGAAAAGAGACTAGCAATGGATTAGGTGATAGGAAACACTCTCCAGATTTCAAAGGTCTGCCTGTATTTACACATCTACATTAGAAGCTGGTGAAAAATTAGACAGAGATGTGTTCTCCATATGTCCAGAACACATGGACCACATGCTTCAAAAATCTCAGACCAGATACCAGCCCTGTAAGGCTGGTGAGGAGTCAGATTTATCCAGGTATTGGTGGAAAGAGCAATACCCAACAAGAATTTTGGTTTTGAGTTTTGCTCTTGAGCACATGGCACTTTGAAAAGGTTTCTGCCTTCACAAGAGATGGCAACATGGGCACATCCAGCTTGGAAAGCCAGCACTGAGGAGCTTGGCACATCCCAAACTGGTGCTTCTCTCCAACCCATGTGTTTGGTGAAGGGCTTTCCTGCTGCACAGGGATTCCTATATGGGCTACAGCTTCTTGAAAGGAAGCTGCCTAGTGGCCAACTACCCCTTCCCAGCACTGACGCCACTGCTTGGGGATGCTGGTGAAAGCCAACTCGGGGAACTGAAACAGGTTAAAAATAGCTCTGTGAGGTGACACAAACTACCACAACTGAGAGACAGAGAAGAATGAGAGGTCAGAAATGGGAACAAGTGGCAAAGAGGCAAATTCCTCAGGAGAAATTCCTCAGGCAGATTTGCTGCCAAAGCCCAAACTTCACTGAGTAACCTCTCCTCTCTTTTCCCTCTGCAGTTCCTGTCTTGGTAGTTCACAGGACACTCGCTTTGATCTCTGATGCTACAAGCGATGCAGGGAATGGGGCAGGAGCTGAATGACTGAAAGCATGGTCTCATTGTATGGAGCATGGAAAGCATGATCTTATAGTAAAAAAGGCCTCAAGTCATCTTTGGTTTCTATTCTCAGGGGATGATGGAAAGTTACTCAAATGGCTGTCTTAACAGGTGCCCACAGGGTTTGGGTTCCTCTTCTTGTGGATCACCAGCCAGAAGCAGTGAGCTCTGATTTGCAGAAGTTTTATATTTTTAGAGCTTGCAAATCAAAGTCACAAAACCCCCTCCTGAGACTATAAAAGTATGAACCAGGAACTCTTCCGCAAAAGTCAGATGCAGGCACTTCAGGTTTGGCCCCTCAAGGGAAGTGGATGTACGTGCAAGGGAGGTGATGACAGCCATTACCAGACAGCATCACTGATATGTGGTAAAAAAACAAATGTTATGGAAAAAACCCCAAAGAATGATCAATCATTAAATCTTGTAACTTTTGAAGCCTTGTTGTGCACCTGAATGTACCGCCAAGTGCTCCCCACACTACATAAACCACAAAGATGCGCGTTCAAATCAAAATGACATGAGTTTCACATCAGCTGAGCAACTTTGCAAACCTCTCCTGGACCTCACCTCTCCTTCTGAAGAGGAAAGTTAATGATTGGCCTAGAGATGGAAAGGTTTTTTTATTCCAAGCTAATATTTCAATGCTCTTCCCACATCTCGTGGGTCAAAAGCGCTGATCAGAGACAAGCTTCCAAGTACCAAATTAAAAAGGGGAAGCTCCAGGCACTGCTTATAAAACAGGAAGCGTCAGCATGCAGCTTAATTAAGGCATGACAGCATATTCCTAGTATTTCACTCACAGCTTTCTGCTCTCGTTGCACTTCTTCGACTTGGGACTTTTTAGGACCTCAAAATAACATCCAGGGGGATTCCTTGTTTGCCTGAAGGCTGCATGATTAGACCACTCAATGTTTGAGGGCTTCAAAAATCCTCTGCAGCTCTTCCAAGAGGAGATCTGGAGGAAAACCAGTCAGACAAGCCACTATGTCCATACAGTGAATTAGAGAAGCCTTTGGATCACCTTAAACGCACAGCTAAACAATATTCCTGTTCCTGAAAACGAAACCAGATTTTGCTCTGGGCTTGAGAAATCTAAGAACAGGTTCAATAATAATGACAAAATCCTCCACTGAGGCAGATAAACCTAGGTAGAATTTTGGCTGGGGCTGAGTACTGCTTGATCAGCAAGCCTAAAGATAAGGGCCTGGAGTCACAGTGGACACCATCTTCATGCTGAAGATGAGCCAGTGGTTGACTGTGGCCAGGGCTATGGTAGTAGATGCAGGATTGCCAGAGAAGCTGTCACCGCTCTCTTTTGGCCTGGCTAGATGCTTCTTAGATCCTGTGTCCAGTTTTAGGGACTTCAGTTCAAGAGGAGTGTTGAAAAGTAGAAGAAGCTGGAAAAAGGCCACCAGAGGCTACCAAGATGTTGGGTTCCAGGGCCTGTGAGGAGAGCTGGGCTCGGCTGGAGACATGGAGGCAGAGGAAGGTCTAACAGCTCCTGGAGGAGCAGTTACAGAGACAACAAAGCCCAACTCTCCTGTCAGAGTTGACCAAACAACATGGGACAATGAGCACCAACCCTTGAGGGCCATATCTGACAGAAGGAAAGACTTTCCTGGAGAGTGGTGCAGCCTGGGATGGGCACGTGGATAAATGGAGGGCTCCATGCCTGGAAGTCTTGACCTGATAAGGAGAGCTACAACCAACCCTGACCTTGTGCTGATGACTCCAAAGTCCCTTCTCACCAACCCCTGTACAAGTGTAAATCACAGATAGGTCAGTAAGGACATGCAAGGGAGGGCAGCCATCAGGAGGGCCCTGCCATTCTAGGGAGGACAGACACTTCTTCAGCTCTTACCAGCATCCTGAAGCTAAATAAAACTCTAGAAGCAACCACAAGTACCATGCTCAAACACTAATCCATGTGGCTACGTCCTCTCTTCTCATTTGCCCCAGCAAAAAGACATATGAATGCCCCAGCTGGAGTTAAATCTCAGAAGACAGCCAGCCTCACTCCTTGAGCATGCTGAGAGGTGTCTGTGTTAGACCAGAGCCTCTCACTTCAGCCCAGTGAGAGTCTTTCACCAGTCAGCCCTCTCCTCCCAGCTACCTGCTTCACTTGAATGTCTAAACAGAGTTCTCCTGACTTCAGCTTTGGTGGTTGCTACACAGGAGATGGCACCTCCAGGTTACTTGAACAAGAAAAAACAGGTAGAAGCACTGGAATGCCTCTGTCCAGGTGCTTGTCCAACATACATACGTGAACATTTAGGACTGGCTATCATATGTGTCCCTGGAAGGCTTTTTAGTTTTAACAGGCTGCCTAGGTTGTTTCTGAAGCTGCTCTCTCACCACTACCTGTCCTGCACAGGAGTTACGTGAACCCTAAACCTCTCAGTCAGTTCTTGATGTTTATCCTGGAGTTAGTGCTTTCAAGTTTAGGAGCTGTTTGCTTTTTCCTAATGTGTGTTTTTATTAATAAGACAAGTTAATTTAAGTGATTTGTACTTCACCTGGTTCTTTACATTTTATGTAAGGAAAATAGCTGAAGAAATGCTGGAAGAAGCATTACAGTGAGAGGAACTACACTTCAGATGGAGAAACCCTGGGGCAATCAGCAGGCAGACTGACCCAATGCCCCACCATTAAGTCTGGATGCCACCAATTATTGCAAAAGTCCTCAATTCAATCATGCTGCTGGATCAGCCTGCGCTGGGGTTCACTGCCTCCGAATAATAGTAGACCATTCAGCTTAGAAAGCTGTAAAGAAAACCACTTGCAGGCTATGCCTAGCAAACACTTGAGGTTTCAAGGTTCACTAACCCAGCTGTTAGTGTTTTTCCTGCCAGTGGACAAAGCCAGTTTTCCAGGAAGGATCAGTAGCCACAAATGCAGAAAAGCACTAGAAGTTTAAATAAGGCATGACAGCATGAAAGGTTTGCCATTTCTGAATAGCTTTTCTGTCCAATGCTTATGAAAACAAGGGAAGCGCCATGGATAAAATGCTATTCAGTCCTCACCGAATATGAGTAGAGAGTAGGAATGGCAGTGCCATGGGAAAAGCAGAGAGGCACACCAGGGATGTCTCTGGCCTGGGAGAGGAGGTAACGCCCAAGGTACAAATGGATTTCAGAGAGCAACCACAAGAGGAAGCTGCAAGTGAAGTCATAGAAATATGTTGTCATCAGGTGATGTGCTCAGCTGGAGTGGTGACAACCATGTTCTGCCCTTCCCCACCAGGTCAGCCTCCTGGGGTGAGTCAGTGCTTCCCAGAACAAGGTAGATTTGCAGCACTTCACTCGTGTTCTTGTCCACTGCAAAACCTCCAAACCTCCTGCTGAGCACAGGGCTGGATTTGTCCCACACTAACTTTCACCGAGTGCCCTGCTATGCCATGCAACTGAGAGGGAGGTGAAGATAAGCCTTGCATGTCAGTTCGGAAGCAAAACCAACCCCACACCTGCAAGGTGTTTTCAGAGTATCTGTCAGGTTGAGAGAACCTCAGAAACCCCAAAGAAGCTTCTTTCACCACCAAATCTGAACACCTGCTTTAAGACTCACAAGAGCTGTAGCTGGTTTTGTGTTTGAGGAATGTTTCCTGCTGAGAAGAGTGTGCTAGAAGCTCAAAGCCCAACCTCAAAGCCATCTGCAGGCCCAAATGAGACCATCAGGAAAGAGAAACAGGGAAATCACTGTCAGCTGTAGCAGTCACCACTCAAAAGGAGCTCTCCCTCTCACAAAGGAGAGTGGTGGGGGCAGCTGATAGTCAATCTTGATTTTGTCATCTAAGGCAAAATCTTTAGATTCTCCTTCCCATCCCTCTGGGAGCAGGGGGAGGAAGAAGTGGAGAGGAGTGGGTGAGTGGCTGCTTGGTTCTGAGTTACTGGCTGGGCTTAAACCATGACACTTCTCCCATTCATCATCATAAGCTCTGGATCCCTAAAAGCCTGGCATCACTGGAAACTATGCTGCAGGTCTCCCTCGCTCCCATGTCCCCCAAAAGAAAGTTAAATTTCTTCTTTTTTAATTCAACAGCTGTTCAGAAAATTGCCAAATACCTGCTCCTCCCTGTCCTCGACCACTGCTACCTGCACATCAGCTGCTGCCTGCTCAGCATTGGCAGGCACTGGGCTGGCTTTGCCTTACCATAGACTCCTTTCCCCAGAAGCTCCAGGAACCGACTGACTGCTGTCTCCATCTCAGTCTTGTTCAGATCCAGAAGGGAGACAACCTGGAAGCCCAGCTGCTCCAGAAGGAGACTCAGCTCAAACACATCCGTGACGGGAGCCATGAGGTTGGGATGATGCTGGTAGTGGTTGTTGCCCACTAAAAGTGCTATCTTGCCTGTAGCTAAAAGAAATATCAAGTGACAAAGCTGTAAACACTCAGCAGGAGGCAAGGTATAACCTCCTTCAATTGGAGTCAGGATATGGAACATCTTTTCTTACATCTAGGCAGGAAGGATAGCCCCTATGTTGCTACTAGCCTGAAGCACCCTGCAGAAAAGTGAAACACTTTCACAGAAAACACAAACCATCATTTTGAAAGAAAGACTTGGAAAGTTTTCACTTGACAACCAAAATCCCAGGAGTGCAGCAGTATCCATACTACTGAGGCTATTCAGCATCTACCCTACCATGACCACAGGTCTTGGATGCCAGTGGTGCCCGGATACAGAGCCAGGGTAAGAGTTCCTTTCCCCTCCGAGGCTGAAGGAGAGAAACCCCAGGCTCCTTGCTTTCATTTTATCCCCACCTTCCACTGTAGGAAAAAACAGATTTATGGCACTCAGCAGTGATGGCAGCAAGGAGCTTTTCCCTGCTCCAAGGAGGTACTGCAAGTAAGGGAAAAGGTATCATGTGAACAGCACTTTTAAATTCACTTTGGTAGGCACAGATGCGAAGACTGGGTTACTCATCAGGAATAATCTTACTCCACTTGTGGAGACTGATCAGGGCTTGGGATGGGACTCGTCCTGTGCCTTGCAGTTCTGATCCCAAAAGCACAGAGCCCATGACAATGTGGGCATAGAGGCTTGAAGCGATCTCTGCAGGAAAAGCACTCCTATGCCTTGTCCTCCCTTCTACCCTAGAGCCTGACTTTTAATTAACGGAACGATTGCTCAGGAAGAAAATGACAGGACTCACCAAAAAACTTTTCAGAGTGACATGTACCTGGAAAAGAAAGAAAGAAATGATAAGCCTGTACCCAGCATCCCAGTGCCAGCTCCCATAAGTCTGAAACCTGCTCCAACATCCCCCAGCAATGCAAAGCTGGATCATACAGCACAAGCATCCACACAAGCAACACTCCTCAGGCCTGATTGCTGAAGACATTGGTCTGGTGATTTTAGAAAGATGTATGGATTCCTGCCTGATGAATGAAATCTTGAGCAGCTGGGAAGCAAAGCTTGGAGAAAGGGCAGGCCACAGGAAAGAGAGCAGCATGGAGGAGCTTGAACCCATCAGCAGGTCTGCGCTACTTATACCAGCCCTGCCTGGGCTGCCGTGCTTATCGAGATGGCTTGCCCACTCCCTCACTGCAGCAAAAGCAAAGGCAACACAATAACTTAAGCTCAGCATAAGCTTCAAAACAGAAAGTTCTCCCCATGAGCAGCCAGTGCAGAGGAAACCACTTGTTTGCTTTCAATCGAGATAAAATTCCCAGAGCCTTGCCTTGCCTTTTAGCAGTTCCAGCTCAGAAAAGCCACCCTAAATGTGACTCACTTTCATGACCTCCACAAGTTTCCTTGCCCAGTCTCAAACATCATTACCCAACAGCTCCAGCTTTTCCTATTTAAATTTCAAAAAATAATCCAGCCCAGGAGAAAACCCTAAAGGTCTACAGCTCAAAAAGAAGAAATCAAGGGCGTATTTTTAATTGCCTAAAACTCAGGTCTGGAACACCAAAACCAGTGTTGCTAATGCACCAGGGTTGCCTCGACAGCCATACATCCTTTCCTGCCTCTGACAAAGCCGACTGTTGCATGGTAAAGCTATCCAGCTGTAGTATCTTGAACCCATCCCAATCCAGTGCACTCTCCTCACTGCCTGTCTTCCCTGGATGCTGTTTTGCCATCTGTGAGGAAGCAGGGAGAGTACTCTCTGGCTATACAGGGCCAGTTTACACTCTGGAGCAATTTTAAAGCCAGCCTAAAAGGCGAGATGAGAAGCTTATGGCATAGAAAAATCTCCAGATGGAGAGAAGAGCCAGCAAAGTTAGCCCATGCTATTTCTGTCTCACAGCAAGGCAAAGGCAGAGGGCCAAAGCAGCTGTCACACACCAAAGGTGGAGCATGCCCGAGGCTCTGGGGACCCATCTTCTCCCTGTTAGCTCATGCAGCATCAGGCCTGGGCTGCAAGCCCGAAGGACCTGAACCTTACCGGAACAACACCATCCTCTCCATCTTTATGTGTCTAAGCACACCACTTCATCTCAGAAAGGCTGTAAATGAGTTTTAGCATAGAAGCCTGCTGTGATTTGGCTGAGGAACTATTAAACCACCACCTTGGCAAGGCAAGAAAACTACAAAAGAATCCGAGAGTGCTCAACCTCCCCTCAGGTGGCAAGTCTGTGACAGACTGCAGGACCCAGGAGCATCCCACACCGCAGTACAGTGGATTACTGGCTTTTGGTTTTTTTCTGTTACAGACACTGCTTCCCTCACTGCCTCTGAACCCTGTTATCAAAGAATCCTATTTATCATGGTGTGACGGATGCCTGTGCCTGCCGCTCAGCAGGGCTTGTGCAGCTCTGCTGAGATCATCGTATCCAGTATATCCAGGGTGTGAAACTGCACTCTGCAGGCTCTTCCCCTGACAGCTGCCACAGCACTGCCAGGACACTCCACTTCTCCTGCAAAGCCATGTGTCGCTTCTCCACGCTGAAGTGTCACACCTTTGTCTCCCTGCAGAAATGGTATTTTAAACCTGTGGTCTTTCTTTATGTTAATAAAAGCATGGAAGATCCATCCAAGCCAGGGGAAGATGCAAGCGTCAGAGCCACACATCCTACTTCCCCTAATCCCACGCCCCGGAGCCCAGCTTCCTCCTGCACTGGTTGAGCCACAGGGTAACACGCCAGCACTGGGCTCCCTGTTCACCAGCTCAGCATTTCCTGGCAAGGCCACTAAATCCCTTTTTGCCCTTCAATTACTTTTCATGCTAGAAGGTGATTTGCAGCAAAACAGATGTGGGTTGGCTCTGCTCACCTATGTGAATATCCACTGCATTGGTCCAGTGCTCGCCGTGGCTATTGGAGGCACAGCAGAGGTATGTGCCGGAGTCACTGACCTTTGCATGGGAGATCTAGACAGATCAAAAGTTAAATCACATTATTTATTGTGAAAGTTTACAGCCCCCTGATGGTATCTGCCAAAGGCACCTGTGTTCCTGGAATGAAAAGTCTTTATTCTTCACTCCTTGCCTCACAAAGCTAAGGTTTCCCATGACTTCTGTCTTTTCTAGGAAGTTCAATGGCCCCTGAGGTATTCAAGGCCAGGTTGGACAGGGCATTGAGCAAACTGGTCTAGAGGGAGATGTCCCTGCCCATTGTAGGGGTGTTGGAACCGGATGATCTTAAGGTCCTTTCCAACACAAACCATTCTATGATTCTATGCTAAGGTCTGCTGCTGACCCCAGCTTCTAGAGCACAAGAATCCTCTGCCCAATTGCCTTCCCTTCTTTCTCCAGCAGCCCCAAAACCCTGTGTCATAGCCATACTCTGTCCCAGGAGCCACACTGGGAGGATGGTGTGTGGCCAAAATCAGAAGGTTGCCCGGTTTTCCTCTTGGTGACATTTTCTAGATTTCTGATCATAGCTCTCTTCTCGCAAGTTTTCAACTCTTACACTTCTCTCTTGACATGGGACAAGAATCAGAGCAGTACTGGCTGGTGAGGACCTTTGTGGTTCTCCAGCCCAGGCTCCTACTCAGAAAGCAACCACTGGGTCAGGTTGGCCATGGCTTTGTCTAGTCAAGTACTGAAAACCTCTAAGGACAGACATCTTGTTGCCTTTCTGGATCAAGCAGCACCACCCACGTCCAAATGAAGAACCTCTTGCCTGGGAAAAGCGCAATCTGAGGCCACTGTCCCCTAATATCATCTATTACTCCTGAGAAGAGATTGGATGTCTTGTCTTCATTACCCTTCACTTGATGCTCCACAAGGAAATCTGCCTTTCTTGCTTCAAGAAGACAGCACTGTCGCATTCAGCCAGTAATCCAAAATAAAGCCACACCTTTTGCTGTGTCCCTGACTCTTTTCTGCGACGACTAATCACTTTTCCTTCTAGCTCCCCTGCAGGCAGGCAGCACTCCTGCAGCTCCATTAGTCCACAGTCCCTGCGTTGACATACAATAGCTGTTCATGTGCCACTGTTGTAAAAAGTAATGAGAGACGTGCCAAGAGCCCTTGACATATCTACGAATTGGTTACTTTTTACAGAAACAGCCACAGCTTCGAAAGAAGCCCATAAAAGGTATTCCCTCTTCACCTGGAGTCCTTCAGTCAGCTATCAAAGCAAGTGGGGTGATACATGGAGTGGTCTCCCACAGGAGAAGCAGGGAAAAACTGCTGAGCATGAGGCTGCTTCTCAAGGGCTGGAGAGACTGGGAGTTCAGGCAACGAGACACTGCTTTCTGCTAGCATCCACCTATCACACAGATCAAAACACGCTTGAGCTTGCCAGGGAGATACGAGCCAGGCTTAAGGACCGATACTGCCATGTCCAGGATGACAATGACACAATTTTCAACAGTCTCTCCAAGGCTTCTGAGGCTCTCCCATGCCCACCATCCAGCAATGAGCTCCTATCACCCACCTCAGCAGCCAAAGTGTCTGAACTATCCCAAGGCAACATTACCCAGAGGTTTTTCTTCTTCTGGTGTTCCAGCAGGTTTCCATTCTGGTACCACTGGTAGCTGGGGGCTGGGACCCCCATGGCAGCACAACGCAGCTGTAGCGGCTTCCCCACCTCCACCGTCTGCTCAGTGGGGTTCAGGACGATGACTGGTTCTCCTTGCCAGAGCCGAGGGGGGAGTCCTGTGAAGCAGCGACACAGAATTGGTCCTCTCTCCACAAAGACAGAAAACAAGTCATTTTTTCTCCCTGTACAAGAACCTGTGTGCACTGCCAGAAAAGCAAGCTTTTCCACCCACTCCAAGAGGTGCTGTCCCACAGGATGGCTGTGACTGCAGCATCACCACTGCACCTTTCTGCTTTGGGAGCAGGGAATCCTGGAGAGCGACACCCATGACAGTAAATGACACACCAAAGCCCTGCCTCTGGCTTCCCAAACCTGACACTCGCCCTTTCCTGCCAATGGCACAAAGTCAACATGCTGAGATCAACCACACCTGGTGTTATTTTTGCTCAGCTTTGAAGTACCCATACTGCCTTGTCCAGTCCCTCTGCCCAATGCAAACAGCCAAACACCCAGTATAACTCTAAGAAAGAGGCTCAGGTACCTACAGCTGAGGTTATGCAGACCACGACAAGGAACTGAACCACCCAGAGAATGGACACAGAGGTCTGAGTTAGGCCTGCAGGCTCATGTCGCTGAAGCAATGCTTCTTTATTGTGACTTTTGAGCTGGGAGGACACACTGCACCTGGGAACTGCATAGGATTACTCCCCAAGGGTGGGCAATGCATAAAACATGGAAAAGCTACAAGACATGCTCATACCTCTGGCAACACAGTGATGGACCTCCACTTTCACCCAGTCAGAGAAGATGGCATTTTTGTAGAGGTCATTGATTCTGCAGGTGTAGAGTTGGGACTGCTGTGCAGTGATGGGCAAGTCTTGCTTGGTGGCACCAGGAATCTGGCGGCAGACAGACTAAAGGGAAAACACGGGTGGTGGTCAGCAAGTCCCCTTCATTGCTGGTAGCAGAAGGCACCAGCAGGCGCCTTGTAAGACCAGGAAAAGTGGAAATCCTCCCCTCCTCCAGCCACAGGGATGTGAGAGAAGGAGCTTTTTCAGTGCACACCCCATCCAGCGCTGTTTAACTTGTCAGCAACATGGACAGTGGGATTGAGTACAAGTTTGCTGATGACACTAAGCTGTTGATGCACTGGAGGGAAGGGATGGGATGCAAAGAGACCTGAACAGACTTAAGAGGCGGGCCCATGTGAACCTCATGAAGTTCAACAAGTCTAAGTGCAGGGTCCTGCCCCTGGGTCGGCGCAATCCCCAGCACAAACACAGGCTGGGCAGAGACCGGACTGAGAACAGCCCTGAGAAGAAGAACTTGAAGGTGTTAGGTGAGGAGAAGCTCCCCATAACCTGTGTGTGCATGCGTGAGCCCAGAACCGCACCGTGTGCTGGGCTGCACCCCCAGAGCATGAACAGCAGGTCAAGGGAGGGGATTCTTCCCCTCTGCTGTGCTCTGGGGAGACCCCTCCTACAGTCCTGATCCAGCTCTGGGGCAACAGCACAAGAGGGACGTGGAGCTGCTGGAGCAAGTCCAGAGGAGGCCATGGAGCTGCTGTGAGGGCTGGAGCTGCTCTCCTCTGGAGCCACGCGGAGAGAGCT